CGAGTTGGCTGCCTCCTCCCTGAGCCTGTCGAGCCTGCCACACACTTCGCTCGTCTTCTCCGCCTCCCTCTCCAGGATGTACCCCTCTCGGGACAATGCCGCGCAGCACCACGGCCGCCATGGCCATGCCAGCTCCAACCCCGGTATGTCACCCTCCTGCTCCCTCCCTCCATGCCCCAATGGGCTCCGACTGACACCCTGTGCCCGGGGGTACATGTGCAGATCCGCGGAATGAGGCGGCCGCGGCTTCGACCCTCTCCAACAGCGCTCCCGCCCTGACGGAAGCCCCCTCGGAGACGCACCACCTCATCGTGCCGGATGCAAGCGTCCTCAACGACATGAAGGCCCTGATCAAGGACCTGCTCGTACGGCCCCTCTCGCTATCGCCCGGTCGCTGCCCCATGCCCCTCCCCCCTTTCCTCACCCTCACCCCCCCCGGCCCTCGCACTGGTCTCTTCCCATGCAGACCCAGGAGGATGTACTCCTGAAACTGGGCCAGGCTCAGCGCTCCTTCAATTCCCACGCGCAAAAGATGGCCGAAATCAAGAGTGCGCCCCTCCCCCTCCGCGAGACACACACACACACACACACACACACACACACACATCCAATGGCATCAGTCCCGGGTCCATCTCCTGCTGGAGCCCATGGCCTCCTGCCACGCTCTCGATCCCTTGTTCTTCCTTCCGCCGTCCATTCTCCTGACTCCTCCCCCCTTCCCTCCGTTCCTGGCCACGCCCACACTCATGCCCTCTCCCCTGCCCCCCCCCCCCCCCACCCGCCCCCCGACAGTGCACCTGAAGCCCTTCCTCACACCGGAGCAGCTTGGCTGGCCGACCATCCAACTTGTCCAGCTGGTGGAATCCAACCTGACCATCGACCCGAACCAGCGGGTGCAGCTCTACCAGCTAGCCTCGGAGCTCCTGAAGCACGAGCAACTCCTCGCTTCGACGCACGAGTCCATCCGCACCGATTCGCTGGCCATGCTTCGGGCCCTGGAGCTGGTCCTGCAAAGTGCCCGGGCATACCACAACGACCTGCTCAATCGGCTGGTCTACTTCAATGACACCTACCACTCGGCCGCCATGGCCGCCCTGACCATGGCCACCATGTACCAACAGCGTCAGCACCAGCCCTCCGACTCCGAGCAGCAGAAGGCCCGCCGGGCGCCGGCCCTCCGCGCGGCCGGGTCCTCTCGCAATGCGTCGGTCCCCTCGAGCGATCACATCATGGACAGCGGCCCCTCCACCCCGGCCCCCCCGGTGCTCAACCTGGATGCCACCTCCACGGTGGATGGCTCGGCCATGGCCGTCGGGTCGACCACCACCACCTCGGCCTCTCGCACGTTGGATGCGCTGCAGCCCTTCTTCGAGGTCCTCCTGACCATCCTCCGCTTTGCCGGCAAGCAGCTGGCCCTGCTGCACTCGCTCTATGCCAGCCGGCCGGTCGCCTCGCCGGGGGACGAGGTCCCCGGCCTGATTTTGGCCCTGAGCAAGTGGTGCAGCTCCGAGATCGGGGCCGTCATCCAGGGGTATGTCCCGCTCGAGGAGATGGCATCCCTCCTGTGGCGGACTCCGCACCGCCACCCCGCCGCCTCCCCTGCTCGTTCTCCCTCTCTCTCTCTCTTTCTCCCTCTCTCTTTCTCTCTCTCTCTCCCGCTTTCTCCTCCCTTGTGTCTGCCTTTTGGCCCTCTCGTCGCTGACCATGCCCTCGCCCTGTGCCCTAGGTCCTTCGTGTTCGAGCTCCAGCCGCCGCAGATTCTCAAGACCCAGACCAAGTTCAACGCGACGGTCCGTCTGCTGGTCGGCACGCATGTGCACCGGAGCAGCCGCGGCAATGTCAACCTTCCGTACTTGTCGGATGCCCCGGTGCAGAACACCGGCGCCGGCACCGGCGCCCTCCCCGAGGTGTATGCGTCCATCGTCAAGTGCGTGCTCTTCCTTTTGCCCGCGCCTCGGCTCTCCCGATCAAGTGGTCTCTCTCTCTCTCTCTCTCTCATGGGCCCCCCTCCTCGGCATGTCTTCGTCCAACGCACTCGCACTTACACACTCCCTCTCTCTCTCTCTCTCTCTCTCACACACACACAACAGCCAAGTCCAAGCGCAGGCCATCCAAAAGTACTCCAGTCAGGCCAGCTCCGTTGGCCTGCTGGGCATCTGCAATGACACCTCGCGCGCCATCTTCCAGGGCATTGTCGCCGAGCAGACCGGCTCTCTGAAGGACTCTCGCAAGAGTACGCCTTTCGGCGCATGCCATCCCGCACAGCGCGCCCGCTTCCACCCTTCCCATGGCATCCCCTAACCCTGTGCTCTTTTCTCCCCCGACGGGGGAGGGAAACTTCGCCCGCATCCCGATAGACCTGGAGTTCAGCTCGACCAAGAACCAGTCAACGGCCACCCTTCGGTGCCCCTTTAAGAACCTGTCGCTGACAAAGATCCGCCGGCGCGACGCCAAGGACGAGGTGGTCACCGAGGAGAAATTTGCCCTGGTCCTGCACACGCAGTTCGTCATCGATGGGGTCCGGCACTTTGTCTTCGCCCTGGCCCGGCCCTGCGTGGTCACGGTCCACGGCAACCAGACCACCAATGCCGTGGCCACGGTCCTGTGGGACAACTACTTCTCCGAGCGTGTACGCCGGCATTTGTCCTTGCCACTTCCCCCCCCCCCCCCCCCCCCCCCTCCCCCCCCCCCCCCCCCCCCCCCCCCCCCCCTCCTCCTTCCTCTGGTGGCCTTTCATCGGTGGGCCTTCGAACTGACCGTGCGCCCCTCCGCTCACTCTGACTCGGTGCTTCGTGCGCCCGGATGCTTCGCACCCAGAATCGCATCCCCTTCCATGTCCCCGACTCCGTGTCCTGGACCAGCGCCGCGCGCGCTCTCAACGCCCACGTCGTGTCCAACACCCAGCGCCTGCTGACGCCGATGGATTTGGACCTGCTCAAGCAGAAGGCCATCTTCTCCCACACGGCAGGCACTCCCTCCTCCTCGGCCCTCGGATCGCTGGATGCCGATGAGGCTTTCCCCCATGCGGCCGGCAGCGGTGGCGGTGTCAGCGACGATGACCTGCAACTTACATGGAGCATGTTCAATCGTGATGCCCTCCCCGGGCGGAACTTCACCTTCTGGGAGTGGTTCCACGCGGCTGAGGAGCTCATTCGCCGGCACATGTCCAACCTGTGGGCTGACAAGTGCGTGTGCTCCCCCCCCCAAGAGCACCCCCAACCAAAACCAAAAACCCACACAAACAAACACAACAAACACACCCCCCCTCCCCCCCACCTCCCCGCCTGACCTCCCTGCGCCCTTCTTTTGACATCCACCACAGCCTCATCATGGGCTTCGTGACCAAGCCCGATGCCGAGGCTCTCCTGTCGCGCTGCTCGCCCGGAACCTTCCTGCTGCGCTTCTCCGACTCCGAGCTCGGCGCCATCTCGGTGGCCGTCCTTTATGGCCCGGATGGCGACACGCCTGCCCACTGCAAGCACTTCCAGCCATGGCTGGCGCGCGATTTGCAGATCCGCAGCCTGGCCGACCGCCTGGGGGACTTCCCCCAGCTGCACTACCTGTACCCGGGCCGGAGCAAGGACAAAGTCCTCTTCAAGTACTATAGCAGCAATGGGACCAACGCCAACAGCGAGCCGTCCTATGTGAAGACCAGCATCGCGGCCACGGTCCTGTTGGACGGGCCGAAGAACCCGCAGGGCAACAAGCGCACCATGGCCGTGGCCAATCCGTGGGCCGTGGACCACGCTTCCGGGTATGCCGGCCTAGGGCCAGCTGCGTCCGGGCCGACTGTCGCCCCTGGCGGTGGGGCCACCGAGCACACCGGCGGCACATGTGGCTCCTGTTGCACCTGTGGCAGCGCTGGCGCTCAAACGGCCAAGGGACCGCAAAAGCATTCGTCTGCGCCGCCGTCGGTCACCTTCTCCGAAAACACCACCCACCCTTCGACTGCCACAGATCACCACCACCACCACCATCACCATCACCACCACCATCAGCAGCAGCAGCAGCAGCAGCAGCAGCAGCAGCAACAGCAGCAGCAGCAGCAACAGCAGCAACAGCAACAGCAGCAGCGCACTGGCCTGGCTGGTGGCGAGTCATCCACTGGTCCTCCCGGGCCGGAGGCCTCGGCAGCCGGCAACCATGGCCCTCCCGATGCGACTGGCTACTACTTCCACCCCTCGTCGGGGTCCTCGGTGGCCCAGCCGGCCTACACTTCGCCGGAGTATGTGGCCTCTTCATCGCCACGGTCGGCCAGTGTGGTGCCGGGCAGTGGCGGCCACTCGCACGTCCATCCCCATGCGCTTGCCCATGCACACCAAGTGGGCCACCTGGTGGGGCATCATGCGCATCCACATGCCGCCATGTCGGCCAGTTCGGCGCACCATAGCCCGCTGGAGGTGCACTCGGACCGGCAACACTCGCCACACGAGGTTTCCACCGCCGCCGCCGCCGCCGCCGCTGGGGGGGCAGGCGGCCACTACACCAGCAAGTCGTCGCCACCGCACGAGGCACCTGGACATATGCATGCCACGACGATGTCGGCCCATTCGCACATGCCCTCGCACCAGCAGCTGCATAGCCAGCTGCAACAGGCGCAAGCTCAGCGCCCGGGCCCGGGCCCGGCGGCGCATATGTACCCCACGGCCGGAGGCTCGGAGGACTCGGCCGCGGCCGTGCGTGGCACCGACCGCATTACACAGGATGTCATCGATGCCACTGCCTCGCTTGGCCTGGGGCCGCGCCCGGGGAGCGTCATCCCCCCGCGGACATCGAGCCCCCGTGGCACTGTCGACGACTCCGGCCTGGCCGGCGGGGCAGCCCCTCGCCACCAAGGGGGGGTCTCCTTCCATCTGTCGCAGCATCAGCAGCAGCAACAGCAACAGCCGCAGTCTGGCGCCAATTCCTTTGTCGCCTCGCCCTCCTTTGCCCACAACCAGGTCCGTACCCACACCTCCCCGGGCATGCACATGCGCGCGCACACACACACACACACACACACACACACACACATGCTCCGCATTTGCTCGCTCACTCGCTGACACTCCCTCCACCCCCCCCCCTGTCCGGCTTTCCTCTCTTCTCCCCAGCCATCCGTGACTGGGCTCTATTCCCAGTCATCCTCCGCGTCCAGCAACCCGATGATTGCCCTTACCTCGCCGGTCATTTCCTCGTCGGCCATTCCGTCGGCCCTCGGATCGCTGTCAGCCTCGCCGAATGTCCTGTCCCTCTCCCGCGAGTATAGCTCCTCGTCGGACAGCCTGCTCGGGTCGACCTCATCCTCGCCCCCGGCATCCATCCTCCTGAGCGCCGGGCCATTGACCAGCAGCAGCAGCAGCAATCTGCTGACCCGCACTCACGGAGATACCGGGTCCATTCCGGATCTGGCATCGCTGTCCAGCGAGTTGGCTGCCTCCT